TCATACTGTGTAACATATCTATCACCCTGACGAAGCTAGTCGAACTGCCTACATAGCTCCTCTCGGCGAGACTCAGGTACAAACTAATCCAGGAAGAGAACGGAGAACTGCTGCCAAGAAAGGGGCATTGCGCCAACCAACCTACGCCTCTTGTAAGCCTCCCACCAACTAAGTGCATCCCCAGAGAACTGAAAAGTAGTGAATGAGACCCCACTGGTCTCCAGAATACCTGCGGTCCGAAGCATCCTCTGACACTTATCTAAGAAACCATGTGCATCCTCACCCTCAACATCACTAAATAATGGAGGATGAAGTTTACCAAACCTCTCCAATCTGCGATGCTCGTCCTCTAGCATAACATGAGTTACATAGTCCTGAGCAACTGCAACCAGCTGGGATGGAGGTGCCCCCAGTGTCTGAAGTTCCTATACGACCTGCTCAGGTGTGCGAGCGGCGGGAGTTTGAGTGCCTCCCCCGGCCTGAGAAGTAGCTGCGGTCATAGTAACTGAGACCGCCTGAGCCAGGCCAGTGCACACTGATAGAATCTGGGCCAGGGTCTCCTAAAGGCCTGGGATAATAATAGGCACAGCCGGTGCCTAAGCTGGTATTGCTGGAGCATCCGCACCTGGGACCTGATCCTGAATTGTGGCAGCTGGTGGATCTGCAGGTGCTGCCCTAACTGCTGTGCAGGCTATACCCCTGCCCCTACTACGGCCTCGACCGTGTCCTCAGCCTCTATTGGCCCCAACTGGTAGTACTGGTGGTCGTCCGCCCTGACCGATAGCATGTGTCCTCACCATCTGTGAGAGAATAGAATAATAGAAGTTTAGTTACCAGAATCAATAGATTCGCACGACAGGAATTCAAGAATGTGAAGTTTTTCCTATAAATACAGACGTCTCTGTACTGGTCCGCGAGACTCTACTAAACCTGCTCATGACTCGTGAGACCTATGTAACCTAGGGTCTGATACCAACTTGTCACAACCCTAAAATCAACCCAGTCGTGATGGCGCCTATCGTAAAACTAGGCCAGCCGACACAAACCCCAATCCAACCAATATTTCATAAAAGTCATTTTTAAGCTATTAAATGAACAGAATCTCATAACATAAGTCTAAATAATCAATACAACAACATCCCAGTATAATCCCACAAGTGAGTTCTGGGGAGGGTAATATGTACGCAGACCGTACCCCTACCCCGAGGGGTAGAGAGGCTGTTTCCAGGAGACCCTCGGCTCAAGAGAGCAACAAGAGACAATATATTAGTACTATCAATAGGCTCATAATAAAACATATAATACATAACATAAAATAAAAATAACAACAATATAAGAAATATAGGAAATACGAAAATGATGGAGAAAAAGATGTAAGGTATACTAATATCCAACAGAAGAAAATAACACAAGCCCGACGTCGGGGTGTCACAAGTCACGAGCAACTACAAGATCGGTCTAAGTACAAGAAAAGCTATCATAGCCCGGAAATAAAATACTAAGAACAGTCTGAGTAAGGTAAGAAGGAGAAGTGCAGGGCTGCGAACGCCAAACAGCTACCTTGCCAACTCCGAAGACCTGCTAGAAGAACGATCAACACTCACTATCGCGATCCGAAACTTCTAGATCTACACATAAGGTGCAGGGAGTAATGTGAATACGCCATCTCAGTAAGTAATAAAAGTAAATGAAAGCTGAGCAGTAAGAAAATAGAAAATTCTACGTCATAGCACTATAATAAATACAGTACATTTCCAAAATAGTACAGAACTCAATTATCTCGTAAAACAAACTCAGTTTCAGTGAAACCTTTTCTTTTAAAAACATCTTTCAATAGTTTCAAACAAGTGATGAAACAGTGAGTAAAAATGATAGAAACGTAACCAGCCCTTCAGGTAAGACATGTACCATAAACCGCCTCTCGGGCAAAATATCAACAGAACTAGCCCCTCGGGCTACCTCACAATCACTTGTAATCAGCCCCTCGGGCAACAACATGTATCAACAATAGCCCCTCGGGCAACAACACATCACTCACACTGGGTACCCGCGCTCACTAGGGGTGTTCAGACTTCGAAACGGCTCCTACAGCCCAAGCACTATAACAAGCCATCCCGTGGCATAATAAATCAGGCTCTCGGCCTCTCATATATCAAAAATCAGTACAACATGCTACGACGCGCATCCCGATCCCATGATATCCTCACAACACAGGCCCTTGGCCTTACTTAGTTAGAAACCTCTCAAGCCACTCGGGCTAACAGTAAAACAGGGTGCTTAGCCCAAAAATATCATTTATAATATCAAAATGGAGTAAATAAGGCTGAGTTATGAAATCAGTAAAACACATCATAAATAAGTACATATATTAAGTCAAAACAGTGAGGAATAGTAGTAAAAAGCTCCTAAAGGTCCAAACAGTTGGCACGAGGCCCAAATATGACATTCAACCCAAAACATAATAATACTTTCCAAAACACAATAGTATCAAATAGTTTTCAATCAAATATGCGAATTAATAGTCGTACGGGGTTGACCAGGTAACAATACCCAATGGTGCATGCCCCCACGCTCGTCATCTAGCGTGTGCGTCACGTCAAAGTAGCACAACAATGTGAAATCCGGGGTTTCATACCCTCAGGACAACATTTATAATCATTACTTACCTCAAACGAGTCCAAACTCTAACCCACAATGCCTTTTTCTCTCGACTCAGCCTTCAAATGCTCCGAATCTAACCAAAATCAGTATATTATCATCAATATACGCTAAAGAAAAAATCCCAAGCGAAAATAATCAAATTAACTTAAAAATCTTAAAATTGGCTCAAACCCGGCCCTTGGGCTCACATCTCGAAATCCGATAAAAATTACAAAACTGGAAAACCTATTCGCTCACGATTCTACCCATATCAAATTCACCAAAATCCGACATAAAAAATCCCTCCAAATCCCCAAAATCAACTCTCCAAATTTCCTTCCATTTTGCCCAATTTTTACCCTAAATTCCCAAATTAAACAATAAAAAATAAGGCATAATCATGGGAATTAACCAAATTTGAGTGAAGAACACTTACTCCAATCAATCCTCTGAAAATCCCCTCCAAAATTGCCTTCTCCCGAACTCTCTAATGAATTTTGAAATTATGGACCAAAACCCTCGTTTTTGAACTTAAACATTCTGCCCAGGTGTTTTCTTCTTCGTGAACGCGGTAGCTCCCTCGCGTTCGCGAAGCACAAGCTTCCTCAGACCGGAATTCCCTTCTTCGCGAATGCGAGGGCGCACTCGCGAACGCGAAGACCACTCAGCTCGACCCTACGCGAACGCGAAACACCCATCGCGAATGCGTAGGCTTAATTTCCTGAACTCCACATGACATTGACTCTACGTTAATGCGAGGCCTAGGTCGCGAACGCATAGCCTTAAACTCATACACCTTCATGAACGCGGGACCTACATTGCGAACGAGAAGAACAACTCGGTTGCCCCTCTCATTAACCCTTCACGAACGCAAGAGCCCTCTCGCGAACGCGAAGAAAGAATTTTGTGCAACAAAATACCAGAAATCTGCCAACTTCTAAAGCCAAGAATTGATCCGTTAACCACCCAAAACTCACCCGAGGCTCTTGGGACCTCAACCAAATATGCCAACACATCCCATAATATCATTCAAACTTGTTCCAATCTTCGGAATACTCAAAACAACATCAAAATATCAAATCACCATCGGATTCAAGCCTAAGGATTTTCAAACTTCCGAATTACACAAACGATGCAAAAACCTATCAAACCTCATCCGAATTACCTGAAATATTGCACACATGCCACAAATGATACGACGAACCTACTCCAACTTCCAGAATTCCAATCCGACCCCGATATCAAGATTTCCACTGCCGACCGGAAAACGCCAAATTTCCAATTTTACCAATTCAAGCCTAAATCTATCATGGACCTCCAAATACATTCCGAACACACTCCTAAGTCCAAAATCACCTAACGAAGCTATCCGAACCATAAAAACCAAATTTCGAGATCATTTACTCACAAGTCAACTTGCGGATAACTTTTCCAACTAAAGCTTCCAAATAAGAGACTAAGTGTCTCATTTCACTCCATGACCACTCCGAACATAGAAAAACCAACACGATATGATAAAATACAGCTGAATAACTCATAAAGAAGTAGAAATGGGGGAAACGGAACGGTAACTCATGAAAGAACCGTTCGGGTCGTTACACTTGGTCTCTTCTCCCCAACCTGCATCTGCCCTTCCTCCTTATAATCTTAAATCTGATTTTACTCCTTTAAGGAGATCATCTAGACCTCATAATCCTCCTACTTACTCTTAGAATTATATCTGCACACTCCCATCTACTTGCTCCAGATATGCAAATTCCTCTATTACAACTGTCTCCAGTGAACCTTATGTATTTGAGCCAAATAGCTATTCTCAGGAAGCAGTTGTCCCTAAGTGGCAGGAAGCTATGAGAAAAGAGTTTGAGGCATTGGAGGCAAATGGAACTTGGGATATAGTTGAATTACCAAAAGGCAAGAAACCTATTGGTTGCAAATGGGTATATAAAATTAAGTACAAATTTTATTGGAGTATAGCAAGATATAAGGCTAGACTTGTGGTGAGGGGTGACACACAAGTTGAGGGCATAGATTTTCATGAGACTTTCTCACCTGTTGTTAAAATGTCCACTGTGAAAACATTAGTTGTTGTAGCTGTTAAACGTAATTGGCCTTTGTTTCAACTAGATGTTAATAATACTTTTCTACATGGGGATTTAGATGAAGAAGTGTTTATGCAAATTCCACCTGGTCTATCTGTTTCTTCTTTCACACAAGCTGTCCCATCCCAATCTTCTTCCACTTCACTGGTTTGCAAACTAAAGAAATCTTATGGTTTAATGCAAGCATGAAGGCAATGTTATGCCAAATTGTCTCACTCTTTATCTTCTGAAAGGTATGTACATTTCTTAAATGATTACTCCATGTTCACTAATGGTTCTGGTGATAAATTGGTCATTTTAGTAGTCTATGTTGATGATATTATCATTACTGGGACTGATTTGTGTGAAATTGCTGCTGTCAAAGCCTTTGTCCATGATCAATTCAAGATTAAAGATATAGGAACACTTAATTATTTTTTGGATATTAAGGTTTTGTATTCTAAGAATGGTGTATTACTTCATCAGAAAAAGTTTATCCATAATTTGCTTTCAGAGTTTCACTCTTCTGATTGTTCTTCTGTGGTATCTCCTCTTGAAATGCATGAGAAATTGAAAGCAGATTATGATGATCCCTTGCCTAATCCAGAGACTTACAAGTGCCTTGTAGGTAAGCTCAACTTTTTAACACATACCAGGCCTGACATTTGTTTTGCTGTGCAGCATTTGAGCCAGTTTATGCAGAAACCTTGCATTCCTCACATGCAAGCTGCATTACGATTACTCAGGTACCTTGAGGGTACTCCTAATTTTGGTGTCTTCTATAATAATTCTTCTGATCTATCTCTGAGTGTTTATTGTGATAATAATTGGGGTACCTGCCCGGATAGTTGGAAATCTGTTGGTGGGTTTTGCATATTGCTGGGTGACAGTCTTGTGGGTTGGAAATCCAAGAAACAATCTGTAGTGTCCTTGTCTTCTGCTGAGGCTGAATATAGATCCATAAGCAAGGTCACTGCTGAGATAACTTGGATTTGTAGACTTCTTTTTGACTTTGGCATGTTTCTATCTTCCCCTGTTCGTTTGTTTTGTGATAATCAGGCTACCATTCATATTGCCAAGAATTTTGTCTACCATTAACGCACCAAGCATATTGAATTGGACTGCCATTTTGTTCGCACCAAGCTGAATGAGGGGCTACTTCAGTTGATTCACACTTCAAGCGCAACTCGGTTGACTGACATGTACACCAAGCCTTTAGTTAGGATTATCTACCATCTTCATCTTCGCAAGTTGGGGGTTGTATCACCCTCCAACTTGCTGGGGGGTGTTAAGTTGTATAAGGAGTATAAGGAAAATGTTACTTAATTGGGCTTCCTTTTCTTTTCCTTTACTTTGTTTTGTATTGGGCCTAGAAGCCCAAAGCTGTATTTATGCACTCGTTTTATTTGTCTTTGGGTCGGTTTAGTCTTTGGCCCATGTAGCCTATGTGTAATTGAACATTTTCATTTGAGTTGAATAATTCAAAGAAACAGAAGCTAGAAGCTTCATTCTTCTCCCTATTCATTTCTCTTTAACCCTAGATATTCCTTCGCAGATTCACTTCGAATTCAAGCTTTATCATAAACTACTCACAAATCTGATATATAGTAGTCAACATTAACATCTTTAGAACTCCTGATAACAATCTTCTCTAATTTCTTTATACCTAACAATGTCTGATATTTGCCCAACATTGTTATATCTGCTTACAACAGTTTCCTTATGTTTATTTACTTTTTTTTTTAAAAAAAAAAGCTTTCTTATGTTTTATCAAGCTGATAATCTTAATAACTAACTTTGAAAAAAGATAGGCAGAGTTACTTATGGATTAATAAATTACTTAATCAAGCAAATATACATTAAGTGTGGTTGACTTTTAGGAAGAGCATGTGCGCTCAGTTGCAGCTTTAGATTTTGGATCATTAGTACAAGTGGGGAAATTTGAGAGCCAAAGAGGGAATTGTTTCCTATAACACGTTTGTAAACTTTGGTATCCTAAGGATAACAACTTGAATTAGTTAAATGTTTACATTGTAAATAGACATATTGATACACTTCTATTTGGGATTTGATAGGCCTATACTTTGGAGTTGAAAGCTGAGATGGCACAGCTTGAAGAAATCAATGAGGAGTTGTGGAAGAAACAAGTATGTTTCAAATGGCCTACAATCACAAAAATACTGCAATATTATTAATAAGTATCGTTGGTTGTATTTTTCACTTTTGAATTTTCCGTGCGTGCTGAAATTATGAAGAGGCAAAAAAATTCAGGTACGAAGTTCTTTTAGTACTCGCAAAACTTTTTGTTGGTCAATGACTAAATTAATAGTAATTCATATTAAGGATGAGTTAAAAACTTAAAATAATACTATAAATTAACCACGTTGTAAACAAATGAATAAATTTGTCATAGTACATGACTTACTAATCAACAAAATGAGCAAAGCTCCCTGAGTTTAACCCCCCCTCACCCACCCCCCCCCCCCCCCCCCAATTTTATAGTCTCAAGGTACAGTCACATTCCAAAAGTAAACAATACACATCAACTTAATAAATGATCATTTAATAATAAATAAGCAAATTCATTTAGAGATACAAGTTCCAAATGAGGGATGACAAAGAAAATAAAGTTTTACATGCTGGAAGAGCGTTTCAACAACACTCATGAGTACTAAAAATACATGTATTAAGTGAATGAGTGCTTTTGCGGCAGTTGAATTTATAAATGAATGTTTGTATCTTGTGCCTATGAGTGAAATATCATAAATAAATTTTGACAAAGATAGAGTTACTATATAGAGTGATTTTTTTCTGGAGTCGGATTTGACTAACGTACAAGTGAGTTCTAACATAGTAGTCTGAATTTCTTGTATATAGTTTATACTATAAATATTTTTATCAATAATATAGAACATTTAAATTTGCTTTTTCAGAAAAGAAAATGTATAATTCTTTCATTGATTTCTTTTCTTTTCATTTAACCTCAGTAGAAATGTGATGCAGATAATCTTCCGAATTGTCATATAAAAATTGGCGCCTCTTTAGAATGGAAATGATGATTATTTTGGTTTGGATTATTTGGTTTGGACTGAACAGGAAAATGACAAATTTATAGTATAATCTTGCTGCAAATATTTGTCTTAGTAGCTGATGACTTTCCATCTTGGCACACTAAGAAAGAAAATTAAACAACTTTCGAATACGGAAGTTTAAAATTCACAAAAAAATAGCCCGATAAAAGTAATGCCAGAATAAAATAAAATGATACTTAAAACACAAAATTCAAAGAAAATACCCTGGGTTCGTGACTTAATGTTTTTTGGATATTAATATTTTTCTATTCCAAAAGGATTTAGTTAGTCAATCAAAAGAGTGGAAGTGTTAGAAAATAATAAACAAAAATGGCTTTGAGGCGTGAAAATCGATTGTCCTTAAAGAGTTATTGCATGTATACTAATTTAGGGAAATACAAAACAATTTTCTTCAGGATACAACAAAGCTTGAAATAATACTTGTGATTTTCTATACTACTTCGTTGGACATTCTTGTGTATTTATAGGCAACTAACAGACCCTTTCAGAAAAGATGTCTTGTTTCACAAACAATCATATTCGGTTGGACCCTTTCATAACAGACATAACTATTTATTCGAATTTTGAATTTAAAATTCAAATAAATTTAATTTTTCTGTCACAAAATAAAATAATTAATTTTAGGATCCGACCCGGCCCGCGCCCAAGCCCCAAGTCCAAGTCCAAGTCTTTGATTATAATATATAAATATATAGTGTACTTAATTGCACACACTTAAAAGTATATGTCCTAAATCAAAGACATAAAAGGGACAAGTGCTTAAAAAGCTTCAAAATTGTCTTCTCTCTTCCGATGTGGGATCAACCAACTTCCCAACTGGAATAGCAAACTATCTTACAATCCCCAACTAGTTTGTTACTCCCTCCGGTCCAAAATAAGTGATTTTTTGGTCTTTTTCTTGTGGTCCAAAATAAGTGATTTTTTCAGATTTCAAGAATGAATTAATTATTTTTTTCCTATATTGTCCTTGGAGTAAATAGTGTTGGAATATGTGTTAGGAGTATTTATGTGAGATAGTAAAGGTTAATATGGTCAATTCCATTGCTAATTAATGCTAAAAGGTGAATTTCTTAATCTGTGTGAAAACATCCAAAAAATCACTTATTTTGGACCGGAGGGAGTATTTCGCTCCATAACACTTGTGAATAATAGAAAGTATCTTATATAGATTTGAACTTTCCTTTAGTGTAAGTACTTTAAAGCTTTGACAAAGTTATTGGTATCTTAAGATTTGAACCACAACTCCTTATGCCAAAACCGAAAGTACCACACACACAGTGTTATCTAATAGCTTAGAAAATCCAGTATTCGCTTTAGCACGTTTACGGCCATGTGCTCATCCTGAATTCATGAATATTTACAAGATCAACCCTTTAAATCTTGTTAGAAGCGGCACCACTTCAATATTCATATAGGTGGAATTAGTTACTATGTCCCTGTTACTCCAGACATTAATAATTCCATTAAGATTAATCAACTTTTTCATGTAACAGTATGCACTTTGCAGTTTGTCTTTATGCCCCTGTTATAACAAGCATTTAACAACTACTTAACTCCTCACATAACAGTAAGTAGTACAATAGAATTAGGGCTCCTAAAGAGGAGATCAGTGCTTAAACAATACAAGTAACTTGTTATTACCCATTGAACTTATATTGTTAGAGTATATACTAACTCAAAGTGGGGTTCCCATTCCTTGCATTTAATTTAAGGGTCTCAGCCCCATCCCTTTACAAGTTTGTTGTACTACATCTCTACCCAATGGCTTCGTAAGTGGATCAGCCAAATTCTTATTTGATCTCATATATATTATAGTTATAGCTCCATTTGTAACTAATTCTCTTATATAAGAATGTCTCAAGCTTATATGTCTCGATTTCCCATTGTATAATTTATTGTGAGCAACACACATTGTAGTCTCACTATCACAGAATATGAAAATGGCTGGCATAGGTTGTGGCCACAACTTTATATCAAGTAACATATTCCTCAGCCATTCTGCTTCTTTTCCAGCAGCTGCTAATGCAATAAATTCAGATTCCATAGTAGAATGGGAAATACATGTTTGTTTCTTGGATGCCCAACTAATGGCTCCACCNTGGATCCACCACCTAGAGTAAATATCTATCCTGATGTGGATTTATTATCATTAACACTTGTAATCCAACTTGCATCGGAATATCCCTCTAATACATTAGGGAAACCATTATAGCAAATGCCCAAGTGCTTTGTATATTTTAAATATCCAAGTACTCTACTTATTGCTTTCCAATGATCATTACCTGGATTACTGGTAAACCTTAAAAGTTTACAAACAGCAAATGCTATGTTGGGTCTAGTGCAATATATTGCATACATCATACTACCTATTGCACTTGCATACTTTAACTGTACTACTGCTCTTCCAGTATTTGCAGATAGCTTAACACTAGAATCATAAGGAGTATTATACTCCTTNGGTATTGTACTTTCTCCTAAAGACCCACTTACAACCTATAGGGTTTGATCGAAGAGGAAGATCAACTAAAACCCAAGTGTTGTTGGATATAATTGAGTACATTTCATCATCAATGACTTCTTTCCAAAAGGCAGCGTCTCTAGAAGACATTGCTTCTTGAAACGTCTTTGGGTCTTTTTCAACATTCAATACAATAGGAATTTGATTACAAACGTTTGTCCTATCTCCTTCAACAAGAAATACTATAAACTGTGAAGAAATACAATTAGAACCAAGATGTTTTTCTTTTCTTATTCTTTGGCTTTTCCTTGGTTCTATTTGCATATCATCACTTCTTTCTTTATTTGTAATAATTTCAGAAGGTGACAATCTATTAGCATCAATACGTTTTCCATTTACTTCAGCCATTTCATTAACATTGTCATTTATAAATCTATTTTCAATAAACTCAACATGTATAGATTCTATAATGATATTAGATTCTAGATCTAGCAGTCTATATGCTTTGGAGTGTTGTGCATATCCTACAAAAATACTTTTAATTCCTT